GCATTGTCAGATAAAATTGCAGGAAGCCGACTGATTACCTGTTCTTTTCCGGCGGGCGACGAAAGCGGGCAGCTTTAGATTACTCTACTTTCTACATGACTGCGAAATTCTTCCTCCAAGTATTGTTGGAATTACGGCTTTAAAAAAAATTATCGCGTTTTGCGGAAAGAAGAGCAGACGAAGTGAGCTTGTTAACCCAGCAGTTCCTTCGCACCAAACGCGAATGATTCAAATACGAATTTTACTCAATTACGAATTCGAATACAGCATTCGAGTGAAATACGTTCGAAATTTTTGTTTATTCTAGACTTCGAGTTTCATTCGAAAACCCTTTTTTGGTAGTTCGAGGTCTCAAAGTTTTATTCGAATCCCCCTATTTCGATTATTCGAGTTTCGAATTTTATTCGGTAATGGGTAACTCAGTTTCGAATTTCGAATGTGAATGTATTTGAATGTTTTATTTGAATGATCGAGTTTCTATTCGATTCAAAAAAGAGTATACTGCCAACATGGCAGACATATTCATAAATGAGAGAAAAACTTCATAGTGTTAGGGCGTCAGATACTTCGAAATTTGCCGAAACACTCTCGAAGCAATCAACTCAAGGATTATTTTGGTACAAACAATATTGAAGCTGAATGCAGACAGAGTTTGGCGTCGAAAATCTTTTTAAAAGTCCCCAATCGCACTGTACGACTGCCCTCCAAAGGAGGCCGGATGGTCTCCTCGATGTCAACAAAATTCTGAATATTATCAATGGCATTACCTCACTTCTGAAAACAACTTTGCTTACAACGAAGCTGTTTTTCCAACCAGTCATCGTCATGCCATCAACACAATGGAAGGAGCAACAGAACAAGAGAGATGTAAATCAGTCTTCAAAATCAAAAACGACTGTGTTGTGGGCAGTCCCATTCTCCTTTATACGCCAAAAGTGCTAGCTCGAAGCCTAGAGGCAAGAAAGCAAAGAGTGTGCTGAAGATGTTCTGCAAAGAATCACGCCGAAAGATTGTACGAAAATTGGTGGGGCCCTAAATGCAAAGGATCACACCATCATCTCTATGCCTCTCAGAAGCAAACAGATAACGAATATCTTGCACTTTCACATCGACCCATACGTCCAATAGTCTAGAGACAGGGCGCCAAAAGTGAAGGTTGTTTGAACATCTGACATCATAAATAGTGAAGGTTATTTAAAGAAGATCAGAGAAGAGAAAATGACGTAAAACAGATAAAAAAAGCAAAAGAAACTGCTGATAACCGGGTAAAACGCTGCAATGAGATTTGCAATCTTTCATTTGGCGGCTTTTCAAAGTGCAAGTTTTCTCCGGGACCAGCAATTCGCAATACGGGGTTTTGATTATGCGTCCTTTAAATTTTTACTTCCCCATTGAAATCTTGTTTCCTGGGACGTTGTCTAGATTGTTGCGCTTTTGGAGCAACAGTCGCCCAAGCTGGAAGAAAATCGATGCGAAAGCACTGAAACAGAACAAGGTAAAGAAAAACGCACTTTTTACGATTTTTTGCAAAATATTCCACCACAATTGAAGAGGTAAGGGTGTATGGTTGTCTCCATTATCAACAGAAGCCAGATCTATGGAATTTACAAAAAAACTGCGTGAAAAGAGTTAAACTGGGAGAAAAACAAGAGATTGAAAACATGGTTTTCGCCAGATTTCTCGACCAAATCAAAAAATGTGGTTTGGGACGTTGCCTGCGTGAAAATAGAGATCAAGAGCTTCAAAATGATATATAGCTTGCTAAAATTGGGTTCGAAACAACGAAGAAAAGGGTACCAGAGCCAAATGCCCCGCACCCCGCGTTTGGGGTAGCGAGGTAGCGCGCAGCGCGCGGAGACGCAGACGAGCAGCGGAGACAGACCAGAGCCGACGGGGCATTTGGCTCTGGTTGTAAATTTCCGCGGAGTCTCAACGAAACCCTGCAACATTATATATAACCAGTGCGTCACCTCTGCTTCGCAGAGGATCGCACTGGCTCTACTATCTATGTGCCTTACTCATTCTCGTAAAATCGTGGCACTGGAACTCACCGCGCCATGCCGACTACCACGAATAAAATGTAAACAACCACTCATTTAGAAAGTCTTTTCACGTGAGATCGGTGATTTCGCGTGGATGAAACTTTTCGCAGGAAGACAAACGCAAATTTGAATAATTTTTTAGATTTGTCATGACTTGGTAGTCGCCATAAGGTAATGATAACCGTGAGCTACATCTCTGTGCGAAAATCTTCTCAAACGCTTAGCTAGAACCTTGGCAAATTGACCATTTACACAACCAATTCGTTTTGGCGCCGTTTTCGTTATGTAGTAAACTTTCGACCACTTTTCTGGCTAAACTCCATCGCTTGCACATTTGCTTACCAAACTCATCGACGACTCTGCAGAAAGTGGTGATACGGACCGAATTTTGCGGTACAGAAGCCAGGTGGACCCGTTTGGCGCGCAATTTCTGAGGGATCCACTCAACGAATCTACTCGTGCTTTTGCATGTTGGACTCTCATGAAGGAGCATGCGCTATACAAAATTTGGGCTTAGAACGCTGGCTGGAAGCTCCACGAATTTCGTAACAGACACACACAGACAAAGTCACGTAAACACCTTTAGCCCGTTATTATAAGTCACCAGTGCGTCACCTCTGCTTCGCAGAGGCTCGCACTGGCTCTACTATCTAGGCCCCACTCATTCTCGCATAATGATGGCATTGGAACTCACCGAGCAATGCTGACTATCACGAACAAAATGTATAGTGTGGACCCGGGCCAGCTTCCCATAGGTACCTGCGCGACGCACCCGCAACGCACGCCTTCAGCGGGCTTGTCCTAGCTTCTGATGGAAATCCTCTTTCCTGTCCTTTTTTGCTTTGTTTTTGGTGTACTATATTCTCTCTATTTTAGGTATTAACAATTCGCGATCACCGGTGACGAGATTTCACGTGCTCTAATAGACTTAAGAGCTTCAGTCTGTAGTAGTAGTCTTGTGTTTTCCCTTTTTTCTATGAAAAATTCAGATTTGATTGGACATTAAGATGATATTCTTTCAAAAGCTTCTTGTATAAAATAAGATTCCTATTCGGTTTGATGTGTAAGGTGTAGACAGTGTTTCAAGTCAAAATTGGGCCTTCCGAGAAGCCAATAGGCATTTGTTTACTAAAATGTCCACTTTTTTGAAATCGTTGACCACTCTAGTTTCTAAGTCTACGAAGAGAAATGTTTTGAGAATGCTGTTGTTCTTTAATTTCTTTACGTATACTTACTACAACCTATCCATCAGTACATGTTCGGAATATGCATCCATTGATTGAATTTGAGGTACTCATGAAGGTTGCCTGCGTTTTTTTCTTGCATACGTTCTTTCGAAGTGAATCTAGAGGTTTCCACTTTACATTTTTCTTCTTTGTGAGCATAAATATGCTCTACTGCTCATGAGTGAGGCGAGAGGCATTGAGAAGGGCGCGCGCTGCGTGCGCGCTGCGGAAGTACCTATGGGAACCTGGCCGGGGTCCACACTATAAACAACTACTCATTTCGAAAGCTTTTTTAGTGAAATCGGTGACTTCGTGTAGATGAGACTTTTTACAGGAGAACAAACTCAAATTTCTAAAGGTTTTTCATTTTCCCATGGTCTTGACAGTTGCAGTAAGAATAGCAGTCACCGTGAGCTACATCTTTGTGCAAAAATCTTGTCAAATGGTCTGTTAAAACTTTGGCAAATTGACCATTTACGCAACCAATACTTTTTGGCGCCGTTTTTCTAAAGTAATGGACTTTTGAAAACTTTTTTGGGTCTAAGTTCATGATTTGCACTTTTACTTGGCATAGACATCCACTACTTTGCAAAAAGTGGAATTACGGACCCAATCATGCGGCCCAAATGCAAAGTGGATCCTTTTGACGCGCAGTTTCTGAAGGATCCACTCAACGAATCTGCTCTTGCTTTTGCTTGTTGGACTTTCATGCGGATAGCATGCGCTGTGCAAAATTTGAGCCAGGAGGTTGGCTGGAACACTCTCTACGAATTCCGTAACAGACACACACACACACACACACACACACACACACACACACACACACACACACACACACACACACACACACACACACACACACACACACACACACACACACACACACACACACACACACACACACACACACACACACACACACACACACACACGCACACACACACACACACACACACACACACACACACACACACAAAGTCACGTAAACATCCTTAGCCCGTTATTATTATGATGATTCTGATCGCCATGACACAATGAGGAGAATTGACAACGTCCCAAGCTTTGAAAATCACTCATTGACGAGATAAACCACCGTTATGGTGCGCGATTCTCTGCGCGAGATTTAGGCGCGTTGCTCGTTTTTATTTAACTCCAATAGCTTTTCTAGACTTCTGAAATTCGTTATGGTTCAAACGAGAGGTTAATTGAGAAATTTTGTCCTGAGTTCTGGCGAAAATTCACAGAAACCTCCTTTTCAATGCAAAAAAGGCTATGAAAACGCAAATCCTCGGTTTCGCTGAGATAAGCTAAAGGTATTATTCCCCACCAGCGCTTCACCTCTGCTTCGCAGAGGTTCGCACTGGCATCGTGAACCGTGGTAAACTTACTTTCTGAGAGCTTGTCTCTCAAATCATTGTTCGGTTTATTGCAAAGTGAGCCGTAGTTAAAAATGAACCATACTCGCTATCTTAACCTCACATAATGTTTAGTATCGTAAATCATTCCTCACTGTAATTTCGTAACGGACAAACTCCACACAACTTCAGATTAAGCCGCTTATTATAAGTCATGATATTTGCTTAACATTCGTTCCGATATACCCAGGATAATAACTCCCTGATGACTTCTGTTTTCTTCAGGTGAAGGTTGTGTCCCCTCATAGCACTCAAAGTGAAGGTTACCAGAGTACGTGGCCCTATGTATCGAGGGTATGCATCGACCTACAAATAGTATGCACGCGCGGCAACCGCATCATTTTGGAAGTTCGCGGGAATCAGATTCTCAAGGTATTTTTTTTAGACACATGAGTTGAAGTTAGACATGTTGTTTTCAAGTTTCAACATTGCTTAAACAGTGCGACTGGAAATTCACACAATATGATGTGAGTGGGGAGACTAGAGAAAGAAGAAAAAGAAAGAACAAAGACTAGCCTCTCAGATGCAGTCTCAAAATGATGTGAGTGCAGTGATAACTAGAGTGTATTTGAGTCCACAATTCGCAAAAAGGAGCTAGACGGCAACGGCGTGTATGATTAACAAATGGTTCCCACTGCTTTGCAGAGCCTTGTACATGCATTATGGTGATATTATGAATCCCGTGCTCTCAAAAATCCCTTAATTATTTTTGACACCCTCACACAAAGACTAGCCTCCCAGATGAGTCAATTGCACAATCTTCACTCACGTAAATTTGAAAAATCCGCGATCTCTGAAGCGGGGGGGGGGGGGGGGAGGGGAGGGGAAGAAGGGGTAGAACCTGAGCACAAGAGAAGAGAAATCACAAAATTTTTTTGCTTTTTTTATCAGGTTCTATATCAAATGCGTATCCCAAACTTTCTAGACAGATACGCCTTAATTTACTCCGTTGAATAAGTTACTGTGATAAGCTTCGTTCTCTTACCAAACACAATAGGTCTCACAGCGGTTTTACAAGAATTTATTTCTTCTTCAAAAACCGAGAGAGTGGAAGTTAATGTTGATGATTTATGTATCATCAACCTCAACAATTCTGTAATCCTAATAGCTTATGGGTATTCCCCACAGGCTACATTCTCCAACCGCTTATATCTGAGTGCCGAATCACTCACCAGTGAGTGGCACCTATCTTCCAGGGGCCGCGCCAAGCCGCGGCATCCTCCTTCTTGCATATATTTCCTGGACATTCTGATTGTGCACGGGTCGGCTCCGCTTTACTACCTATATAAGGAGCCCCCGATTGTATTATAGGTTGCTCCCCCCGGTTCAACACCGGGGTTCGTCTGTGGATAAATTATTATCGACACCACTATCGCCTACAACACTTGGTTCCCACCAAATTGGTGCATCGACCAGTGAAGCCACCTCGTATTCTATCTGCAACCGGAGGAATCGAGGCCAGAAGACCCGCGTGGCAGGAAGACAACCAACCGACGATCTGAAAATTCCTGTGTATCCTTTTCGTAAGAGATCCAGGGGGGTGTAAGAAAATCGGAAGGCTACCACTGACTATCTGAAAATCTTTGTGTATCCTTTTCGTAAGAGATCCAAAGAGGTGTAAGAGAAATCAGTAGGAATACCACTGACCATCTGAAAATTTCTGTGTATCCTTTTCGTAAGAGATCCAAAGAGGTGTAAGAGAAATCAGTAGGAATACCACTGACCATCTGAAAATTTCTGTGTATCCTTTTCGTAAGTGATCCAGAAAGGTGTAAGAGAAATCAGTAGGTAGCACATTACCACATTAAAAGTGAAACTTTCTGTGTATCCTTTCCGTAAGTGATCCAGAGAGCGGAACAAATTTTGTGAGTGCAGCACATAACCACATAAGACCGTGAAACTTTCTGTGAATCCTTTTCGTAAGTGATCCAGAAAGGTGTAAGAGAAATCAGTAGGTAGCACATTATTTATTTATTTATATACCAGTGCTTCACCTCTGCTTCGCAGAGGTTCGCACTGGCATCGTGAACCGTGGTAAACTCACTTTCTGAGAGCTTGTCTCTCAAATCATTGTTCGGTTTATTGCAAAGTGAGCCGTAGTTAAAAATGAACCATACTCGCTATCTTAACCTCACATGATGTTTAGTATCGTAAATCATTCCTCACTGTAATTTCGTAACGGACAAACTCCACACAACTTCAGATTAAGCCGCTTATTATAAGTCATGATTTATTTGATACGCACAAGGCGTGCCCAATACACAGAACGAAGCATCACACTAAACAAATAGGGACAAAAAAAAGAACAAAAACAGGCAAACACCCCACTGAATCAGCTCAAGTCCAGCCCGCAAAATATTTTCTAGGGATAGAAAGGGAGTGAGCTTGTCTAGACTAATATGAAGTCATCACATGTATAGAGGTTCGATGGAGTCTGTCTCATGCCCCCTGCTTTTAGCAAAAATGCTCTTATTCAAACATAAGCAAATGTATATGTTGGAAGCAGGTGTATTGGTAGTAATATTGGTAAAACCCGCCCAACCAAACTCTGGGGAGAGAGCAGAACTCCGGAAGAGGTTGCACAATGCAGAAGTTCAAGCCCAAACAAGCTAACCCAAGCATCAATGGAAATGATGAGATGAGCCAGACCCAAACTAACGGGTGAGGTATAAAGTTGAAAAAAAAGCCAACACAACGAATGGCAATGGTGTAAACCAAGGTCCAATGATTTGGTGGAATCTGATCCCTAAAATCCAACGCAAGACATTCATTTATGCGCATCCCTTCGATCATAGTCAGCCCAGAGTGAACACCAAACTGAGACAGGCGGAGTCGCGTGCCATAGAACCGTCAAACGAAAAGGACAGAGACATGCACAGCACAAAAGCAAGGATCTAGAAAAAGGAATTTGAGAGATGAAAAATAAAGTAGAAGCCAAAAGTGCAATTAGAATCAAGCCTCAGAACCAAGCGTAGGAGAACCATAACAACCATAAACCCTGAAATCCTGAACCCTAAAAAAAATCTGAACACAACATTGAAACGCAACGCAATCAAAGAGAAGTATCACTGCTCAAAAGTTGGGTCAAATCAGTTTTAATCTTTTTTTAATTTTTTCTTGAAGGCTTCACCGCTACGCGCTGACACAATATCAACGGGTAAGCGCTGAAGCCATCTTGCGCAGCGGAAGAACATGTAGTTAAATATCTCAGACTGATGTAGCTTAATAGGTTTATAATGCAGATTAAAGCCACCTAGCCTGGTACCAACTGGTTTGAAGATCCAGAATTTACTTGCTTTTAATTTTATTTCCATGCGAAGAATACGAAAACAAAAGACCAGGTCAGATATCATGCGTCTAATTCTGAGAGAAGTCAAGCCCAATTTATTAGAGCGTAGGTGACAGTCTGGCATATCAACTGGTGTTCCACCACACGCACGACGGAAAACCAGACGGGTAAAAGTGTGCTGAACTCTCTCAATTTTCATTATATCTTTTTTTCGGGAAGGAGTTCAAACTTGTGAACAATATTCGAGATGTGGAATAACATAAGCTTTGTATAATCGGGACAGTATCATTGGATTACGAGTTTGTATATTACGAAAGATTGTAAATAGAGTAGCATATGCTTTGTTGACAACTGAATCAATATGCTTAGAGAATTGCAAATTACAGTCGATGATAACTCTCAGATCTTTCACATCTTGACAAGCAGCCATCTCGACTCCATCAATTTTATACGAAGTTGAGGAATGCTCACCAAGATGGAGGAAAAAACACTTTCTTGGGTTGAGAGAGAGTCCATTCTGAGAAGCCCAACCACACATTTTATCAATTGACGACTGCAATGCATCATGAACTGTGTCAAAATTATCTTCATCATAAGATGCATATATCTTTGTATCGTCTGCGTAGATTTGTACGCGTACATCCATTGTTTTTAAAGTATTAGGTAGGTCCAGAGTGTATACCAAAAATAACAAAGGAGATAGGACAGCTCCCTGAGGAACTCCACTGGGACAGGGAAATTTTGTTGAATATTTATGACCAATCTTTACCGTCATGCATCTACTGCTCAAGTAAGACTCGAACCAAGTTAATAGGTTTCCCGAAATTCCGATATTCTCTAGCTTGCAAAGAAGCAAACGATGAGGTATTCTATCAAAAGCCTTGGAAAGGTCGAAGTATACAATATCCACAGATTTCCCCAAACTCAAGGCTACCTTCCAATCAAAAACAGCTTCAGTAAGATTAGTTGCAGTTAACTTGCCTGGCACAAAGCCATGGTGCTCGGGCGAAACAAAATGGAACCTCTCCAACCAAAGTAGTAATTTACTTCTGATAATTCTCTCCATAATCTTGATGGGAACAGAGTTACGGCTAATGGGGCGAAAATCGGCAACGCTTTCAGCTGCGGAATTTTTAGGCACAACTGTAACAATGGCTTCCTTCCAAAGAGAAGGAATCTCACCGAAGTATAAGGAAAGATTGAATATATCAGCAAGCGGTTTGGCGAGAGTATCTGCACACATTTTGTAGAGTATCTGAGGGATGCCATCGTACGGCTCCATACACGAAGGTTTTAGAGATCTCAGGACTCTTCTAACTTCCGCAGGGTGAAAATAAACAGAATTCAATTTGTATTGAGGAGGATGGGAGGAGGGGACGGTGATACTCAAAGGATTCGCAAACACAGTGGCAAAGTATTCACCCAAGGCCTCTGCTTTACTAGAATCATTACAGCAAGTACAACCCAAAGAGTCTTTCAACACCGGGAAGCTAATTTTACTTTGTAACTTGTGGTGAATGTATCTAAACAAATTTCTCATAGAAGATTTCTTCGATAAGCGTCGCTCATGATTTGCTAAAAAAATTTTGAGGTGCAGGTCAATATCAGCACAGACTTTCTTATACAGGGGGCTAGACAGAGGTGAATCTAAAACACAAAATAAGCGACACTCCTGTTCAATAAGGGAACGAATATGAGCGGGATAAATCAAGCCAGAGGTGCAATTAATCTTTATAGTACCAAACAATGCCATTCCAGTATAGATGACTTGGCAGAATCTGAGATACAAGTCATCAACATTGCGGTAATTATCAAACAGTGCATGCCAGTCAACTTCAGATAAATACTTGTTGAGGGAATCGTAGTCAAAGTGCACAAAGTCGGGTGTAGGATAAGATGGGACAAGTTGAAAGTTGTCGTTGTACTCAAATGTAACGATGCTATGATCTGCAGAAGCCAAAGGTGGATAGAGTCTGACATTGTGAACGTTTTCCGAAGTGGACAATATAATGTCCAGAATATTATCAGCGTGGGTTGGATATAGGACATGCTGTTTCAATTCAGCGTTGATGAAGAAGTCAAG